TCTTTCAGAAAAAGCAGCTTAGACCCCCTCATTTTTGTTGAGCCATTCTGAGAATCCAGAGTGGGGCAAACTTCATGCATCTGCTTAGACAAATGCAAATGACACCTAAGAGACTGTATATATAGCTCTTACTAGGTTCAGAATTATGGAGCTACTAAAAAAAAATGTAGTTGAGCTGAAAGAAAAGCTTTACTTCTGAAGATGCACAAAGGGAATGACATAAGTCGTGGAGTGATGATGTGTGTTTGAAATGTTGACAGTAATCAGGCAAATGGCATTTCATTCCTCTTGCCAGTGATGATGGACCCCAGCTCAGTATTACAATCTAGAGAAGCTGAGCTGGTTTCTTTCTTGGAAGAGTGGTTTCCTTCTTTTTTTTTTCTTTTTTTCTTTTTTTTGTAATCAGCTATGTTTAAAAATCTGAAAGAAAAATGTTTTGGTTCTTTTAAAGTACATGTTTTATACCCTCGGGCCCGATAGGAGGAGGAATTAACCTCAATAAGGTGAAAAGTGATTTGCCTTCAGAGAGAAAGATGAATATATTGCTCTTCATATGGGACAGTACTTGTGTCTGGTAATTTTCTTTAGATAAAGACTGATTTGGTAAGTTATGTATTTCATGGAATGAAATAAAGTGAATGAAATAAAACTATTAAAAATGAAAAGGAAAGAAAAAAGAAGTACCAAATACAGGGAAAAGGATGTCTTTTTTTTTTTTTAATTGTAAAAATAATTATGTACAGTGATGGTTGTTTGCAGACATAAATGCTAAAGCTTAGGTTCTGCTTAAGGCAACGGAACTAACCTATGAATAATGGATCAGTGTATCAAACCAGTGCTTTTCCTAACATCCATCACTGAACCCTACCCAAGAGGTTTGGAAGCAGAACTTAAAAAATGAATGTCATCTGACAGCAGCCAGATCACTATCAGAGTTAAAATAGCCCTGGACATGTAGTCCATGATGTGTGATATACAAGTGGTACATATCCACTTACTGTGGGTGTTGTGGTGAGGTTGTTTGAACTAACCGTGCATCACTTATTTCAACACTCAGCTCTTGGGTCACAGATAATAAGAAAGTAGTAAACTACATTTGAAAGATATTTGACTTAAATGATAAGTATCATCAGATCTGTGGGATTTAAATAAGTACACCATTAGTTACTGTCTGAATATCATACCAGTCATAACAAAAGCATATTATAGGAGTGAGGTCACTTACTGATTTTCTTCTTTGCCCTAATGGTAGTTTGAGATCTGTATTGTACTTTACATTTGAAAACCGTGTGTTTACATTATGCCACAGTAATTTAAAAACTTCCTCCTACTGACAGTTTTGTCTTAGGCATGTAGAATAAGAAAAGCTTTAAAGTCACTGATCCCATTCTTTCTAGTGAGTTGCCTCAGCAGCAGCCAGTGTAAGTTAGTGAAGTCTCTCTTGTAAAGAGTCATAGCAGGAGACCTCATAGTTGCAGAAATAATGGGATAAATGAAGTGAAACAAAAATGAAAACAACAATTTCATAGTCTGAAAAATCACTTGAAAACAAAAGACTCATTTTGTTGTTATTATCTCTGACTCATTTATATCTAATCATATTTGTTTCTTCTATTTATTTGTTCTTCTCTTTATTACATCTACTTGCTGTAATTCCAATGATATTTTATCATTGCCCAATATCACATGTGTGAAATTATATCAAACTTCTGCTTGCCTTTATGTTTCTTATGTCAGGTATCATCTAATCTCCTTCGAATGGCTTTGAAAGTATTAATTGTGATTTTCTGTCCAACTTTTGTCGATCATCACTCATCTAACCTCTACTTTTAAATGAAAGGCTATTTAGAATTAGTTTTGTAAGACTGACTAGGATTTCAAGCCATGAGATAAGGTTCAGTTGTTGAAGAAACTGTACTTAAGTTTGTGACACATGTTTAATCTTTGGTTATTTCTGTGCTGAATAAACAGAAAATGAAGGTTTGATCTCTGCGCTCACATGCAGAGCTCAGAATGCCCTGCTGACAGACTTTAAGTTGAATTAAGCAGCATATTGCAAAAAAAAAAAAAAAAAAAAAAGTTTCTGCAACTGAAGCATTCAGCATTGGAAGGCTTCTTAATCCTTCTGGTTCTTACTTGTGCAATATTGGGAAGAGGGAAAAATAATTGAACTTCATTTGCAAATAAATCCAGTAGTTATGGTTTGGATTTACGGGAGGAACAGTGTTATTCAGCACATAATAGCTGATGCTGCAAGAAATAACTTTGCTAGACATTAAGAAGAAAACCAATCATAGTAAAAATTATGCAGTTTATTACTTGTTTATGTGCATCACTGCTGCTTCTAAGATTTTACATTGAAAGAGGACTCCTGTCTGGAGGCTATGGATGAATAGAGAATGCAAATGCTTTCTGTTTTAAAGAACTTGTAACTTCCTCACAGGCCTTCTGTTTTCTGTCTGTTATTTCTAGCCCTGCTTTTGCCATAATTTAGGATATTCTGTCTGCAATGCATTTATGGAAAAAAAATTTGAAAAGATTTTTTTGTATCTTGCTGTCTAATCTCATGCATCAAGCACGATCCTTGAATGGCAGCAAAGCTGCACCAGTTCTAGAGCCATAAGGGTGGAAGATGTTTTTTCCCCATCCTCAAACAACTTTTGAGCCCATGTAGTAGCATACAATTCCACCCCTCCAACCCTGTCGGTTACAAAAAACAAACACAGAAAAATTCTTCATTTTTAAAAGCAAAAACAAGTTACCTGAACATTATGAGATCCTTCCTCATTCGTAAGATCTGAATGTTATGTGTTTTGATGCTGCAGTCTGCCACTCTCCATTCTATTAGCTGGGCTAGCAGCTATGAACTTTGGGGCAGCATATTCTGCTTTATATCCACAGTCATGAAGTCAGGGAGATATTTTATATTCTATATTGATATGTCCCTAATAAATTATTGGGAGAAGGAAAAGTGTGCTTAAATATACAATATAGTACTCGTAAGAGTTTCCAAAGCGATCTCTACTTTGTTTGTACAGATAATTATGCATTGTCCCCCACTGAAATCCATATCTTCTGTGGTGGAATACAGTAACTATAGAAACAAATAACTGCTATCTTAAACAAATACAGATATATGTATTTAAATAAAACACTGTGGGATTTCTTTTTTTTTCTGTTTCCCTTCATCCCCCCCCTTTTACCCTGTGAGGTTGCTCATAGTCAGTGTCTCTCATGTTAAGCATACAGCTTGCAAAAATCTCCATAAACACAGAGATCGGAGTTTCCATGTCTGCATGATGGTCTCCTGTCTGATGTGTAACACAAAACAACCTTGAACAGGGGCGTACCACACGTTTTAAAACTGTACTTTAAAAAATACACTATAAGTGATCCAAAGAAGCTCTTCTCAATGTATATTTTATTGTCTGAAAAAGAATCATTGCGATCTTTTATTGTTTTGCAAGTTTCAACAAAGCCAAAAAGAGCCTTTTCACTTAATTTAGCTGAAGCTGGATCCAGTTGCTAACTGACAGTTATTCTTCTATATTATGTTCATAATTTCTGAAAACTAGAAAGCATATCAGCAAAAGAGATTGTGAAGTAGTATACAAAGTAAAATAATTAGTGTATCATCAAGAAAATAATCTCTGATTAAGACTCACCACTTGAAAGCAGCCTGACAGATTATTTCTCAGAAAATGCTATGTCTGGGTTGCTTCAGTGCTCACCTTTTTCTCAGGTATTTCTGTGAATTTCTTTTCCTTCCATCTTGCTGCTCAGTGTCACCTTGTTCTGGGTTAAGCAGTGCATTATGTAATTAATGTTACATCTCCATATGTTTGCCTTAAGAAAATACTGTGCAGGAATTAGTATGACTTGAGCTTTATAATACAAAAATCTATTTTGTTTCCTATTAAAAGAAATTTGGGGAAGTAAACACAGTGCATATATAGAGGTGCCTGTATATCTTGAGTATTTATCAAAAGCTTCCACTTCTTAGGAAAGCATAGGAGACAGAGATCAGAGGTCACAGTGTGTATATTTAAATTAAGAAAATTGTTGTCAGGTGTTAGCATAAAATGGAATTTTACTTCAGTGTAACTGAACATTATGGCCCAGTTCTGGTAGCCATATAGTGTTTTTTCACTTCAAAGTTCAGAAGATGCATTTATTAATCAAAAAGAATAGGTCGTGGTGATGAATTTTTGCTCTTGCCGAGAGCCCAGAAAGAAAAGATCTCCTTGGCAGCATGGAGATCAGCAGCACAGAGCAGGCTGACCTCACAGCCTACACTGATGTTGTAGCCCAGGAAAGGCCTCGGTGCTGTCTGGAGATCAAAGTGTCACTGTTTCTGATTATCTGTGAATGACAGAGTGTGTTTTGGGAGAATACCGGCCTGCACAATTTGAAATGTGCTTGCTGTTGGATGTGACTGGGCACTGGTACTGTCTGCTTTGAAGTGCCCCAGCAGCTGCTGTATTGCCACAATACCAGTATGGTAATGTTGCTGAGATGACATAAAGCTTTGGTACAAAGATCTCTATGTCTCAGGTGGGATTTGTAGGCAGCCTGAAGTCAGTCTGGGCTCCAAACTAGAATGTGTTGGTTTTATGGAACCGAACAAACGCACCAGGCTTTGGTCTGCCCACACCTCCTACCCTGGATTCACGATGTTAATCCTGTTACTCCAGCTTGCTATTATTTCTGTCTGAATACCAAATTTGCTGCTTTTTGCAGTCAATTCAATTGTCCTAAGCCTTATGATGTGCGCTACAGGAGTTGTAAAGCAATCAAAGTGAAGTTAGCATTCACTAAGGTACACATGCATATTCTGAACACCTTCAGGTTGGAAAATCATTGCCTGTGTTCTGGCTTTGGCAAGCACGTGTTAAGCCTTTGTGATGGTGAAGTGCTTTTCTCTGCCATTCTTCCTATATTTTGTAAATTTCTATTTCTTGTAAAGATTCTAAAATTTTGTTTTGCTTTGTTTTGTTTAGGGATCAGCAATTTTACAGCCAGGAGTCTTACCAGCTCTACCAGGTAGGAACACTTAATTATTTACTTTGTTAGTGCATATTGATGCTTAAGTCCCAAATGGTGATGAAGAAAGCATCATATTCGAGGAAGAATAACTGAACTTCTCTAATTGAGAAGCTTGCGGTTGGTTTTGCTGCTGCAATTCATGAGACTGGCATTTATGAAGTAGATTGTAATCTGTAGTGTCTTTAGTTACAAAGATTAATGATTTGAATTTTTCCTTCCTTTTATAATCAAGAAGTTTGAATTTATCGGGTTCTTTATCAAATTGTGTAGTGCTTTTTCTGTTTACATCCCCAAAGTCAGTGTGTTCTTTTTAGGCTATATGAACTTGATTTGTATGTTTTCTAAATAGCACAAAAACCCAGGAGTGTATTCTTACCAGAGAAAACATGGAGCTGCTTCTCTCATGTCTGTAGAAATTCTAACTGACAGATGATCAGTAAAGGAAGGAAGCTGAATATCTTGCCTTGAATGATTATTTATGCAAAGGTAACACACCGACTGTCTTTGTGTTGTAAATTTCCCTACCAGTGGAACGTGTTGATCATCTGGAATTTGCTGCCTCATTTAGTCAGACTGGTCTGGCTTCTTTATTATCATTATTTTACTACACAGATAACACTTCACAAGCCTGTAAGTATGTCTGGCTTTATGTACTGCACCCATCTCATTCCTTTGGGTTGTCTGTACAGGGATGATGTGTCTTTAACATCTTTATATTCTTTGCCTGTTCACTTGATAATTCAGTAGATTCACTTAATATACCAGGTACATTGTTCCCAACAGAACAACATTTCGTGTTTGGGATTCTTTATGAATTTTAAAAATCTTGGCAAGTACAGAAAGAATTGTAGCTGCTTGCTGCTGGTGTGAGCAAATCCAGTAAGATGCAAGGATCAGGTGATGTCTCTGAAAAAGGTCATAAGTAATTCTATTCCTTTGTCTGTCTTAGCAGGTGTAAATCCAAAAGCACGTAGCAGATCTTGTTCCTGGTTATTCCGCTTGAGTCAGTGGAATTTCTCTTGATTTATAGAGGTCTAAATAGAAGCATAAATTGGATCATTACCTCTGATTTTCTCTTTACTTCTAATAACACAAGTTTTTTAGTTCCCCGACCAACCCAAGGAAACCAGAGAAATTCTTATGACGGAAGTGTGTGTAGAGAGGGTTCTATAGCTGTGTGTATTGGATATATTTCTACATAAATTTCAGTGGCAAATTAAACGTGGGAGCAAACATTACTTGGCAAAAACTTAATCTCATACTATTCATGCAGATGAAGGAGTTAGCTATTTTGTTAAAATCTATCATTAAACAATCTGGAAAAGCAACCAGAGAACAGATTTTAAGATCAAAAGAAAGGGAAGACACTACACTGGTAAAAGTTTGGGTGGGTTTTTGCACACTGCAAAACCAGAATACTTGTTGCATTTAGTATAAAATGCCTTAGACAGATGCAGCATCTAAAAGCAGTGACTGAAGTTTTTAGCCATCTTTGTAGGGTTTTGATCTTTCAGATAGTCTCATCAGCTACATGTGATTATATGATTATATATTTGTGCTTCATTCTTCAATACTGTACTGTTCTTCACAATGCAAAATAAACTCACGTTTTCTCTGTCTCATTTTTATTATCCTCAGATATTCCATTTGGGAATATTGTTTTTACATACGTGAACATTTCAAATGTAATTAAACTTGGTATTACAAAGCTCTAAAAAAAAAATGTTGTAGCCCTTCAATTCCTTGCTTTTACTGTCTTTAATTCTAGGTTTGTACCAAACGGTCTCTTGGTGCCAAGCAGTCATTCAAACAGTTCTGTTGGACTAAAGGAGCAGCATTAAAACTTTTCTATGTTTCTCTTTTATGCTGTTTTTATCCACATTTACGGATAACATAGAAGCATGCTAATTTGAGGTAATTACTTTCAAAATCTGGCTTGATGGCAAGATACGCCTACTAATGTGCATAATTTTACAGTGACCTGATACAGCAAGGTTGTTTGCTCCTGTACCAATCCACTTAGTCACAAAAACTTTGTATTTTTAGCACAGAAATGATTGTATTGTTTTTTTTTCTTTTCCATTCAAATACAACATACAAATGCAAACCCACCTCATTCGCTGCTCTATGTGCCCCCTGTTCTGTTCAACAATTTTTGCTTTTGAATGCTTCAGTTCTGTATCAACAAATGGGGTTAGTCAGGATCAATTGTTTGAATGTTTTTCAGTTTATTGCTAGAGAATGTAGGTGATAGTGTCATCTTTCTCTTGTTAGTTACATATGCTGAGCAATCAACTAAGCAACTTCAAAGGAGCATATCTAGTTCTAATGGCAAGCTAAAAAGTATTTGTAAATACTTTGGCATTTTAACACCCAGATGAAACATCTGTATTGGAAACTGATCAGTCTGTGCTTCTGTGCTGCAGGCTCTGCCATTACAAAAATCAAGAGCTGAATGGGAAATTAAGAAGTAAAGAAACATCCTCTGTTGGGAGCAGTATGCTTGAATATCATTAAGTTTTGAGGTTCTTAAATTTCTTCTTTTCTTTTTGACTGTGCTGTTTGAGAAGAATATGACCCACACTGTGTTGGTTTTTATTGCTTGGGTTGGAAATAATATATAATTAAAAAAAAATTTAGAGGATACATATCATCAATGCTTCAGATGTATGAAGGCAAAGTTCACAGAGATACTAATGTTGAGTCAGTAAAGTGTGCTGAACAGTGTCCATCATCAATAAGCTGTAGTTCACAGGGCTAACTATTGCAAGAGAACAGCATTATTATTATCAGAAGCTGATTAATAAAACCCTGCCATAATATGCCATACTCTTTCTTGATCGTACTTTATTTTAAAAGTGCACTTAAAATAATTCCATACCAGAAGAAAAATAAAAGCTTAGCAGAATTGCTAATTGCACCTACAAACCAAACCAAGGCCTTACAAAATAATCTGAATTCTAGGGGCCTGACTAAGGACGAAAAGTCATTGCCACGAAACCACGTGCTGCTGGTTCATCCTCTGGGCTGAGCAGATCCAGCAGGTTCCTGTTTCCTGTTGTAGGGTGACCTGATGACACTTGTCTTTCTGTGACCTACTCTATAAAGGCAGAGAGGCTGGGCAGTACGAGGTGATTGCTTGCATATTACACGTGTCTTCTTACTGACTGTAAGAGTAGGTGACGATTTGAAAACGTGCCTACGTGGGCTTGGTTTATTACATGCATTCCAGCTTTCCTCATTTGTATTTTTTTCCATGGCTGTTTCTTGTGGTGCATGTACTGAAAACTGCTTGTTCTTGAAGAGTGAGCATAAAGAAATGCATATGCACTATGAAGAAGAAGGAAGAAAATAGGTCAATCTCTGCTGATATATGTTTACGTAATACATTTAGAAACTTCACAAAAATTCCATGAGAGATTTGATATTTGTATGTAAATATTTGTTATTTGCCAGATTTGAAGATGAGGAAAATGCAATACTTCAAATCCTGAAGCATTAATGTGGTTGTTTCAAAGCAGCTCCACGGGGGAAGTTTTTGACTTGACCCTAAATGAACTGGAATCTTTTATGGTTATACTTCCCCCTCTTGTGTGCTTTTCACAAATCATACAAACATCACTTCAAAGTCCCAATTTCCTGAAGAATGATTCGTATTTACAATTTTACTTACTATTTATTACGATTACATAAAACTTTTGAGGGGCAAAGAAAATCAGTTTGTGGTAAAACTACATTTAGCATAAAACTGTAGTTGTCTTTTCAAAGTAAGATGGGACTTTCAATTTTATAAAGCACGTTCTGATGTCCTTAATAATGTAGGAAAGGGACATTCTGTGGTGAGAAGTATAAATGAACAACCTGGTCTGGAACGTCATACTTCTTTGTCCTGTTTTTGCATTTATTTGTATGAACAGTCTTTTTAAAGACAGAAGTTTTTAAAGAAGGCTTTTGGTGCTTAAGATTTCACCAGGATACATAAAAGTTCTACAGTCTGATCTCATTTTTTTGATATAGTTTTCTCTGTGTCAGTTTTCAGTCATTCTTGTAACCTTGGATTACACGATATGCTTTTAGGTGCAAAAAAACCTCTGCAAGATAAGACGTTTTAGTTCAGTTATGCATTTTTGAGATATATTTGCTGTTTTTTTAATCTATCATCCTCATCAAGTGAAATGATGTGTTTTGTTTACACTTATTTTCTAAAAGTGTAGGAATAATTTTCCAAGCATGAAAACTATTAGAATTAGAAATTATTTCTTATGAGTGTATCATTTGTGCAAGGGAAAAGTTAAGAAAATACCTTTTTCTTTTCGTTCCCAGATCACGCAGATTTCTTAGGTACTTGAGATTGCTATTTATCTTACAGAATTTCTTTGTGCTACATATGAATTATGTTAATTTTTGGTTGCTATTTTAAGAACAATTTGCAAAGATGTGTCTCACCTGCTCAGAGACTATTCATTGCTCTAGAAGACAGTGTTAATTTTATATGATCTCAGCAGCACGTTGTACAGCTGTCCTGTCACAGTGGCAGGGTTGCAAATAAGCAGAGCCTCCTACTTCATTTCTGTTAAGTACCACTTACTTGAACAAGAAGGTCCCATGAAATTATCCATGTCAGGAAGCAAATGCCATTCATTTTGATTAAGGTGCCCATTGTAAGAACAGTAGACAAGAAATTCTGGCCAGCTAATGATAATGCTAACTGAAAAGCTAAGTATAATGCTGTTTAGTTTGCCTGTTGAATATATGGATGTAGACAAACTGCATTACATGTGTACCAGCTTGTACGTTTCCAAGTTTCCAGCTCATCTTCCCTTAGACTTCCTTATCTAAAGCTGTTTGGAGAATTTCATGCTGATCTGAATAGAGCAGAGGAAAGAAGAATTACTGTGCCATCCAATATGTCTTTGGTAAAGCTTTTTTGGCTGTAACACTTGGAACAATATTTCACAAGAACCAACTGTGACTCAGGTTCAAACCCCACTGAAGCTAGATCCTTTAGCACTGGACGGTGGACTACTGAAGTGTAGTACAGTTCTTCTCTTTGGCAGGTTTTTGGATCCATCTGATAAGAATGTAATGACAGCTTTAAATTCTTGCAGAGAGATCTTGACAAATTAGAAGGTTGGGCAATTAGCAACTGCATGAAATTTTACAAGAGTAAGTGCCAAAGACTTACAAAGCTTATGGTAATTTTTCTTGATGTTTCAGAAACATTTACTAAGGCTGCTGATGCACAGCAGATATCTAACGATAGCAGAAGGTATTTAGATTTAATATGATTTTCTCTCTTTGGAAACAGGTGCTTCTTCTGTCATGGCAGCTTCTGGGTCTCTGAAACTACAGAGAGGGTACAGTCTCCAAGCTGGTAGGTATGAGTAGTTATGACGTATGTGTGTACATGTAAGTTTAAATTTATTTAGGCTTGAAGTATTTTAAACTTCAGGAAAAGTTAATATATGATTTGATTCCCTTTTGTAACACTTACATATCTTTGGGCTTTTTGCTGTGCAGGGTTTTGTTAAAAAGACATTGACAGATGGGATAAGTTTAGAAGAGACGGTGACAGATGAGATAAGTGTCAGAGCATAGGCAGTAATCTTATTCACAGCAGTATAATGCTGCCAGAGTTTTAACAAAGGATACCCACCAAAAAATCCCACCTTAGGCCATGAAAAATCCTAGCAATGAGACAATGGGGAAAAAAACAGCACATTTAAAGATAGTTCATGGTAATGAAGGAAAAAACATCCGCAGATAAACTTGTGAGTATTTGTCATTCAACATTAATACCAATGTATTCATATTAAGAGCATAGTGTTTTAGCTTGCCTTATGTGAAACTGGGTGGAGTCCATGACCATGGTGGAACCTGGGAATCTTTTTTCATCTTAGTGCTCTGGAAGCACCAGTGATGCTGCACACCTTGGCTTCTTGCAAGGATGGTGATTTGCACTTGAAATGCAAAGTCGTCCTTGCAAGGGACAGTTTAAGCACTTTCTACAATGCTTTGTCAGAAATCAAGAAGTTATCCATCATGCTGGAGGTGGAATTTTAACAAGAGTCTTCCAAATGCTCCCAAGATCACCCACCCACTTCTCCCTGATTCATGCATTCAAGACAGCTTTGCTCCCACACTGATGTATAGCAAAACACACTGTTGACTTTAGTGCCCTTCTGTGTGTATATCTGTAAAAATGGCCATGTTTATTTACTCTCTCTCATTAAAAAACACTGACATCACCACCACAGAAAAGTCAACACTGGCTACTTCCTAAGATTTTTTTCCCAGTATGATTGTTTAGATTAACAGTTCACCAGTCTAAACCAGAAAAATCAGATGCTTTGCTTACATTGTGCAAATTGCTGAATTCTGAACTGTTGGTGGTGTTCCTGTATTGTAGGTCCTAAAGGTGGTTATGAGATGCTGACACTACCTGCAGAACCTGGAACTCCTACTAGCTCTGAGGAACCTGGTGAGTAAACCAAGTCATCATCCCTGAACGTGTTTAGAAACCATTTGGATGTGGTGCTCAGGGACATGATTTAGTGGAGGGTTGTTAGAATTAGGGTAGTATGGTTAGGTTGTGGTTGGACTTGATGATCTTTAAGGTCTTTTCCAACCTGAGCTATTTTATGATTCTGTGATTCTAAAGATCTTTGCAACCAATTGCATCAGAGGAAGCTAACTTTTGCTTTTTTTCTCTTTTATGCTGTAATGTCTTCTAAATGTTGATTTTTTGAGGTGGTGATCATTGCAGATGTTTGTTTTACAAGCGTGTTCAGACTCTTAAACTCATACATACACACGCACACACATATACCAAGCAGTGTTTGTAGTGCTGTAAGGCTGAAACATCACTTTCAAATGTATATGTTTTCTCTCCTCTTCCCAATCATTCCTATCTCTTCCTTTCCTTTCTTCCCTCCCACTCTCCAATTCTTTTAAATACCACTTCTTCTCCTGTTTCACCCTTCTCATTGCTAATTTAACTATCTATTTTGTTTCTCTCTCTTCCTCCTTTTCTCCTCAAACATGATACTCTGCCATTTCTTTCGCAATGTCTCCAGACTGTAACTGCTAATTCTGGTCTTTTTTTTTTTTCTGCCAAATTCTCCCTCCATAATGACCACAAATCCCACACAAATCCTGGTATTCTGAACCTTTTCATAAGTATTTTCTACCTCAGTCCATCCAAACAGAACCACAGAAATCATCATCTTTGTCCGTGGCACTCTGCATGCCTTATTTTCTTATAAGAGATGTTGACTCTCTTGTGCTATTCAAATAAACCTTTTTCTTCAAATAAGGATAAACCGGTTTTTCATTTTTAATGAGATATTTTTGTGCAGAGAAAAAATGAAAAGCCAAATTTACAAAGAAATCAAAGTTTCTGTTAAAACAGCATAGACTAAACAAGAGGAGAGTTTTTCTTCACTTTATTTCACTTTCCTTCACTTCTATTCCAATTCGCCTAACTTTGTACATGGGTTTTATTTTTCTTTATGTCAAGTTTATAGGAAGAAATTTTGAGTTTTGCCAAAGCTTTCTTCTTTTCTTTCTTGCACAAAGATCCACTAATTAATATATCTTTCTCTTTGTGGTTTTTGTTTTTTTGTTTTTGTTTTTGTTTTTTTAAGATAATCACCAGGCATAAGATTCACCTTTCTGCTGCTTAGTTTTATAGAGGAGTTTGCTGGCTTACATGCTTGCTAACTTTGAGGACACTTTACTTAAAATCCTGCTACTTCACTTAAGCAGAGCATAGAAAGACTTCAAAAACATCTTTTTCTTCATGACTACTCATGACTCTATATCAGCCCTTAAGGTTGTCATCTGTTTATGAGTTCAACCTCTTGTTACTGCTGAATGTTTGCTTTCAGAACATTTGACAGAATGGTGTGTTTTATGAAATGGTTCATTAGTCATTGCAAACAGTGTCTATAATAACATATTACTTATTTTAGAAGGGGCTGTAGGTTATTCAGCTGATGTCCCTACATCAGATCGACCCCACAGTGAGACAGCCACCTATGTTAATATTCCTGTCAGTCCTACTTCCAAAAAACAACTTCATTACATGGAACTGGAACTTCAAGAAGCCAGCACAAGCATAAGAGGTAAGAAAGCCTACAGGACTATTTAAACAGCAATAGGTACAGCGTTACAAACTATATGTGGTATGGAAAATCTTAATTTCTCTGTCCATATCTCTTAATTTCATCTGCCCACAGCCTCTGGCTAACAGGAATTTGTACTCATGTACATTTGTACTAATTCTTGTAACTGTCAACTATTTTGGAAAAGACTTATAACAAGCAAAGCTCTCTAAGATGTTGCACTGTATATGAACTCCTCCTAAACTGAATGTTTCCATGTCTCTGAAGTTTGACAGACAGTGATTTCTTTCATTTTTCTCAAGATTTTCAGTGCATGCATTAAGAATACACTTGCTTAACTTTTCTTACTTGGATTCAGCAAAAGGGTCATGGTACCATTGCAGCATGTAGGTACTACTGGGCTTGCTGCTAACAATATTAAAATAGTGTCTCTAGAGCCACATGGCAAATGTGTAAGAATAGAACATGGTGTTTTCTGTCTGCTTTCCATGAGGGTTGCAGGAAAGCAGAAGCATTTGATTACATTCCCCCCACTCCCCGCCTGCCCACCTCACCTGCTCCCATTCTTTTACTGGATGTGGATATTTTTCATGTAATGCTTGTCTTGCAGAATTAGCCCACACGTGTGAATTATAGCTACCATGTACAGTCACTTACAGATCCATCCCCCCTTACAGAAAACTCTTAGCAAGGATTTGGCATTCAATTCAACACATTTGCTGTTGAAGTATCTTTCAATTTTTCCTTTATTTATTTACTTAGTCTTGTTGTTCAGTGCCATATACCTTTAGGTAAGTAATTCTAAGCTTTTCCCAGACCTTACATTTGGGAGATATGGAAGACTGAGATATGGAAGTCATGTTTTATCTCCATTTTAAAGATGGTGAACCAAGGCATTAAGAGTGAAGAGCCTTGCTTCTATAAACTGACATTAATTTTGGTATAACACCAATCCATGCTCAAGTTGTGTAACTTTGGAGGTGCTCCTAATGATTGTAAGTATTATACTTTTCTCATATTGAAGTTTTCCCTTCTTCCAGAGTGGTATATCTACACTGATACAGAACTGCTCTGCTCCTGAACAAATAGAGCAACTTTTGTCTACCTTATTGTCAATTATCAGACTAAATTGTTGTTCTGTTCAATTTTGTCTTCTACTGGGAGAAACAGGGGTGGAGATTGAAATGTGGAGCATAAATACAAGTGATTCAGGTGCTTACTTGAAGAAAATCAGATACCTAAAAGAAGTAGATAACCAAGCTTATGAGGTTTTTTGTTGTGCTTATCATCTTACTTCCTTTATAGAGCTTATTTTAATACCAGACCAAGATCACCTAGGAAATCTATGGGAGAAGTCTAGCAATAGCTTCAGCCTGAGCCTGTTTTACCTCAGATTGCATGAAGGGTATGGACTGATATATGATTTCCTTTGGCGTTTCAGGGAGTGGATCATCCAGATATGCACAGATTGACATTGCAGCCACCGAGACAGCCCACAAAGTGGGAACACAGCATGCACAGTGCCGGGAGGAACGCTTGCAGGAGCTGGAGCAGAAGAAGAAAGGAGCTCAGCAGTGACTTGCCTAAAATACAAAGCTGCCATTGCATATTGTATTTATACCAGATTCATTCCAATATTTTGATTCCTAATTGGAAAGCTGGTAACGTGACAGGGGTGTGTGCATTCTTTCTTTTTTTTAAAAAAATTTTTTTGGTTGTAAATTCCTTTTCTTTTTCATATGCAATAGATGTAAACTACCTTTTTCTATAAGTCTAAAGTCATGTAAGAACCTGGAACCAATTCCAGTGCTTTTTAAATGGTGGCATTTTCTTTAAAGAACTTGAATGTGTGCAGATAAGGGGATGTGAGTGTGTGTGGTATGTGTACACATAAGTTTGCATGCGTGCATATGTATGTTTGTATGTAAGCACACATTACAGATAAAATATATGTATATGTCTGAGTGTATAAGTTATGTAAAACCTTTATTAATGTATTAATGAAATCTTATGAAAGCTAGAAAACTCAGTGCCTGATTATTTGCAGGCATGGTTTTGTTCAATTTATATGCTCATTTAAGGACGTAGTTAACTGTATCTAGGAGTAATTAAGTTTTATACCTCACCAATCTTTGGCTAAAATTGCTCTGCTTTAAATGTTGCAGTCTTAGGGGTGCATACAGACAAGAGCACGCACATATACAGATGGTTTAATTTCATTATGCCTAAAAACCTGAGTAATTTGTAATGATGTTTTGGGTGCTTCTGTTCTTAAAAGCTCTGTGTTAGACACCATGGGTTTTGATTTCATACATGCTGTGTACCCGTAATTCTTAAATATTCTTATCATCTGGAATTTAACATTACATACTGACAAAATCAGATCTCAGGTTTCTCACACAGAATAGATTAAAGTCAAGTTATTCAAAAGAAATAGCCACATTTGAAATTTGAGTTCTTTATTTATCTCTCCAAAGCTATGCCTGATGTACAAGCATAAAAATTGGATCATCCACATTGACATGAACACTTTTTTTTGAATAATTATTTGCTATATGTAAGTAGCATTAAACCAGTCCTGGGTTAGAGCAAAATGTCTTCCAAGATGTTTTGTGAGGCAGAATTTGACCTATCAATTTATTTGATTGTAGCCTCAATCGTAATGGAAAATATTGGAAATCTCTCAAATAATAATAATAAAAAAAAATGCACTTGGGAGGTGATAATTGCCATTGTCATCTTTTCGGTATGAAGAAATTATTTATTACCCTGGCTTATTTCTGAAGGGAAAAAATAAATATTTCTTATGAGACTCTCATTTTAAAATATTTTCTTATTATTTGATAAACATGCTGTAGTGATTTACTCTGTAAGCACATGGTTGGCACAAAGGGAGTAGCATGAACTTTTTCCCTGGACTTGGAGATCCTTGGGCCCAGTTTTTCTTAGGCCCAGTGCTCACCAGGACCAACCAGTGCTGTTCCATTCCAAGTTCTCTACTGCGGGGCTTGCAGGGATGAAACTTCTGTGATGTGTTTATTAATATTTCATATTTAAAATGAGTCTTGCTAGCCTGATGTACTGAAATGCAGTGTTTTCCAGTTCCATTTGTTGCTTAGTCACTGTTTCGGAGCTGTATTCTGATAATAATAATAAATAAAATAGTTTAAATAATACATTTAATTAAAAAAAAATTAAAGTTAAAAATAAATTGAATAATAAATAAAATAGAATAAAAAGTTGGGATTTCAGAAGGCCAGTGTTTAGACAAAAGTAGTGGATTTCCTTGTGCTGTAGTATAGCCTCTGTGCCAGTGCAGAACTGTTTTCTTGAAGTTCCTTTCTACCTATTGTGGCATTAGAATGTGTGACAATAGAATGGAGCAATGCCCTGATTCACAGTCTCCAAGCCACTGGCCTTGATCTCTCATCTGAGAGATGAGAGCCTTCCATCTGCATGGACTCAGCCTTTAGCAAACCATAAACAGGACCGTGCTTGTAAGTGTTGCAGAATCATGATAGATAATGAAACTGTAATATTTCTATTTAAAAAAAAAACACGTATTTACAAGGAAAACAAACCGCCCAGATTCTCTGCAGAGGGCTGCCCTTCTGTACCTTGCTCAAAACTGCTTGCGCTGGGACTTCACAGCATGAACAGAGACTTCATGCAACGATGCTGCCATCAGACTGCTGCTGGCCTTACAGTGGGGGTCGTAACATTAAAAATGTTTTCCAGGTTCAACAGGGGGCATGAGTCTGCACGTGGTTCTCTGTGTGCATTTATTTACTTACGTATGTCATAATAACTGCAGCTAGGATTAGCTAGATGGCTGGATATAGATTTATATTTATAGTCTTGTTAATGTTAACAGAAACATCTCCACAAATGAAGTAACTTACTTTTCAAGCATCTATTTCTCTTTTTGTTCTTAGCTTGAATAAGTTAAATAGGAAAGATGACTTTCTCTGGTTTTTTAAATTTGTTTCCTCATGCAGGAAATTGTGTTGCAAAATGCTGAGAAGGCTGAAGCAGCAAGTCAAGCTTTACTGTTGCATCTATTAAAAACTGATGGCTTGCTTTTTTTTTTACAGTATCTTGCAGCCACCCCCCTGTGGAGCTATAAGCTTGATATTTCTTTTGAAAAAATTACAGTTTTCTCAAGAACAGCAGAACTCACAGAAATGCAAAACCTTTTTCCTTAAGTAAATAATGTGCCTTCCATTTCCAGTGGCGAACTGGGGAAAAAGAAAGTCGAGCTACAATCCTTTGAGTAGACTCGTGCTTACCATATAGCTTTCATGGGTTAACTCCAGTCATAGAATCATAGAGTGGCTTGGGTTGGGAGGGACCTTAAAGATCACCCAGTCCAACCCCTGTGCCATGAGCTGGTTGCCCCCACCCGATCTGGCTGCTTAAGGCTTCATCCAACCCGTCCTTGAGCACATCCAACTCTAGTAATGCAGTTAATACATAAGCAATTGCATAAGTGATTGTGATTGTTATAGGACTCCGAGCTCTTTGCAAAAAAAAAAAAAAAAAGAGAGAGAGAAATCTCGGATGTTTTTATCATAAATATGACTCGTAACTTCCACTGGCACAAACAAAAGCTTTGCTCATCTTTAATTTAGTGTTTTTCTGTCATTGAGCTAGCAGAATGGGTATTAACTACCAGAAGGACAAAATGATGTTGGTCTGGTGATGTTCTCAAAGTACATCAATGTGCCAGAAGTTCCAGTTTGGGGACAGTGCTCTCAGGGATGAGAAAACAAGCTGCCAGTGAAGTGCTGGGGTGTAGCAACTTGGACTGAACCAGCCTAACATACCAGGCTTGGATGCTTTCCACCATGCATCTGTTTTGCACATCTGCGTGCAGCGTGTGATGCCTCTTCACTCCCAATGCCTTTCTCCATAGGTTGCTGCCAAATGTAAATACTGCTCCAGTGTTTTTTTTATAATGTTGCTTGTAAGCTGTTGCAGAACATTTTTTTTATTTGGATAATGGAATTTCTCCAAGTCAAAAAGTGCAGCAGGAGGAAAAGGCCAAGGCTTGAAGGCGCTCATTCACCAAACAAGGCAAATAGCTGTCTGGGTTTTGACAGTATTGTGATACCTCATTGGTGAAATGCCAGGTTGTGCCTGCAGGTATCCAAATGTGCATGAAAATCAATTGTTTTTAACAAATAGCTTGGATTTCTCATCTTCCTCTTTGCCATAGAGGTAAACAAAACAGTTTTAATTATTATAGCTTGGAAAGTTGTACTTAAGTTTAAATTATGAGAGATTACATTGTTGTTTAAATAGTGCTGGAACATGCACACTCCAGTAAGTACCTTTTCCAGCTTGTTGGGGATAACATACACATCCTTTGCTAAAATTACTGCAAGAAGAATACAGATTTTTAGATTTCTAGCTGCTGATTTCTGTTTTAATTCAGCATTTTTTCAGATGACGTTCTTATATTTATGCATCTCCTTTTCCCTGGGAAGATCCTCAGCTACCATTCAGCCAGTCACACAAACATTGCTTTGCAATTGAGATTGAAGGGAAATGTTAACATTCTGCAGCAATGAGACCATACCAAATAAAGATGGAGGACTTAGAAGTTATTAAATGGAAATTTGTAAGGATTAGCTATCTAAACATATCCTTTTTCAGTGTAGGTGGGTAGAATTAGGGGCATGGCTGGGGGGGGATGTGTTGGTGGTTGGACTAGATGATCTTAGTGTCTTTTTCCAACCTTAATGATTTCATGATTCTATAGTTGCTATTTAAAAATATATACATAGATTTTCTTTTTTTTCCTAATGCGTTCAGTTTCATGCTTTCCCTGAAAGATATCTGCCTTTAGGCAGTCTCACACTGAAGCTTAGGTCAGTGATGATCTGGTGGATACAGATTATAAACAGTTCTGTGGACTTCCCATGGAAGACTGGTGCATAAGTGACAGCAAAATACCTGTAATTCCCATCCTGCATTATAATGCAATAAATGGTTTATAATACAGTGGGCAGGCTTAGGAAAGTGCCGCTGCCAACTGAGCTTTGAGTTCAGTAGGAACTTCAGGGTGAGGGAAAGTTAACTTGAAATTTACTTGCTTTTATACATTTTTTTCTGCATCAGAGCATCTCGAAATAATCCAAATGTATTATCTCACTGTATACACAGAGGCGTATGTAACATCACCGTTTTACTGACATAATAAGTGTCAGTTTATCTCAGGAATGTGAGGTGGGGGGTGGGATCAGAAAGCAGATTTAGCATGACAGTAATTTATCTCTACATTACATTATACTGCTGTGAATTCCTTAAAAAAATAAATCCTAGCACCTGCTATTGTATAAGTTAAATATCGCTCATCTGTAGGCTGAGCTGGAAATGTAAGGGTAGCTCAGCACACAGAAAATAGAGGAGGCTGCGCTCAGTAGGAAACCTGCCCTTTGGATACCAGAGTTTTATTTTATATGGAGTTGCTCAGATTCATCCCACATCAATGTCTTTCTCTATTACTGCAGCAGGACGGACCCTGTGCAGTGCCATTTGCTGCTGCACACACTTGGTCCTCTTACAAGAGATGCTTAGCTTAACTGGCTACAAATCCATAAGCACAGGAAAAAATCATGTTGGGGGTTTGACAGAGAAGTAGGTAGGTGTCAGCAGGGAGCTGGAAAGCAGCAGTTCTTTGCTAGTGAGTGTACTGTCAGGAGGAGGGTGCAGCTGAAGAATATTTGGTTCTGTAACACGTGGTGTTTGGACCAGTGCTGGAGTCTCCTCTTTGTGGCTGTAGTGAGGATGCAAGGTTTCTTGGAAAAAGCTGAAGGTGCTGCTGTGTTCTCAAACTGATCTGCCACACCCTCCTTAGCAGGAATGGAGCAAAGGCAGAGGGGTGGTTAAATGCAAGGCTGGCCTGCTGCCCATGTGGCAATGTGTGTTGTCCCTGCATCAGCCTTGTGAATGATTCACTATGCACTGGTTTGGTCCCTGGAAAGACTAGCTAGCCTCAGTATCTGGTTTTTCTCCTTGCTGAAAAGCATATGAAGCGTTGGTCTGTGTGCTGGGTGAGTGATGGCTTCTGCTGGGCCCTGCTATGAAGCAGCAGCCTGGCTTGGCACTAAGGTGTACCCAACACTGCTTTCAGCTGGTCAGTGCAGTTAGAATAGCTGGGAGATTTCCTAGAGAGGGAATAGAGCTGCTGAAAGCCCATGAAGTGGCTTTATTGAAGTTTTGCTCTCTCTGTGCTTTTTGAAGTACGTGCCTGCTGCCAGAGACCATCAGGGATAGTTGAGAATGCATTTTCTGCACTAATGACATTTGAAGCCCCAGGCAGTCTGCCTTTGGGATTTGCTGCCACAAGATAGATCTTCTAGCATGTGTATTTTTGGCCAAACCCTCCTTCACACTGACAAAATTTAACATGTTGAGACCCTCAACCTGACTGGGGAGCTGTCAAAATGCAAGTTACGGCCTGCAGCCACATCTTCAGTTTGGGCTTTCACAGGAATCCCATTGCATATATGGTCAAGATGTTTGCCCTGAAAAGCACAGAAGAGCTGGAAGCAAGCAGATAAAATTAAACCTGGTGGCCAAGGAGCAAGGCTGCCAGTGTGGGAAAAAGGCCTGAGCTACCCCCTGCCCTCAGTCTCCACTGCAAAGTGGTAAGTGCTCAAAGCTCAATAGGATGAGCTGCTCTTTTTCTTGGTTTGAAGGAGCTGAA